GAGTGAAATTTTTTTTTATAACAAAGTTGTACTACATTAAATTAGTGTTATTTTAAATAATTGAAATTAAAATGTTCAACATTTAGAATAGATCTTTATTGGCACCGTTTAAGATAAATGTTGAACGTCATTAGACAACACACTTTCTCTAACTTTTAAAAGCTTGGCTTAGGCCTGTACTTAACTAATTTCTATACATTTTTTTAATATTATACATCTATAGATATATTTTTCTTACCAGGTTTTTCTACGTGTACAGGCACATGTTTGATTTCTTTCTTGTAATGTGGTACGTGGATAACCTTTAGAAAAAAAAAATTATTTGTAGCTTATACAAGCTGTCAAACTTATTTTTGGCTTCGTCTCTTAAAAAATATCAATAAATTTATGCTTAATAAATATTGCTACAACGAATAAAAAAAAAAAAACTGCATTCAGACGAGTGATAAATTTGAGGTAGCTTTTATACTGAATAAGAATCAAAGGAATACCCGCAGCTTTAAGTATTTGTCTCTAAACATGATCATACCAAACAAAATTTAGATATGCTGTCATGTTATTCTAAAAAGATATAAAAGCTCAATAATTGAAGATTGAAAAATTTAATTTGTAAACGAGAAAATTATATTTAGTCTTATTCAAGTCTTAATTCAAAAACTACCCCACATTACTCTTGTTAGTCAAAAAGTATAGGTTCAAACGTGCATTATTACTCTAATAAAAAGTATTTCGGTTAAAACTAACCTTTTCTACCGGATAGGGTACCTTCTTTTCTACCTAAAATAATAATTATAAATTAAGAAGTTGTTTTTTTAAATTAATTTAAAAAATTTTGTATTATCATACCTCAACTGGATAAGGCTTGTCAACAGGGTAAGGGAAAAAAAAAAAACAAGAAAAGAAACAAAAAACGAGGAGCCCATATCCGTTGGACTCGTCGATGATTTACGGTGAAAAAACAAATATAAAAGTAAATAAATCTCGTTATACTCCGATGGAATTTTCAAGTGGCTCCAGGTACGCTGGTTCTGCTCGTCATCACGGCTGATCCATCAGTCCCATCCATGCCCGTGCTCGGAGATCCCGCCTCCGATGTCGTGGTGGCCGTGTTCCTCCCACCCATGATGCTCCTCGTGCTTTTCCTCGTGGTACGGGACCGGGACGGGAACTTTTACATAAATTAAACACATGTCTGTTGCGGTTTAACGAATTCGAGGCTTCTTCTGTGAGTTGGAGTATATACTCCCACTAATTATACATGTGCTATTTGAGAGTTGGAATGATTTTAATGAATTTGAATTTATAAAATAGTAAACCCGGAATAAGATTAGAGTACACCGAGAGAAAAAAATAATAAAAATTGTAGAGAAATTCCAACAAAAATTACTATTCTGCGCGGTAAATCGGATGCAAACTGATAAAATAAATGGGGAAAGTTATTATTATTAACAGTAAAGATTATTGTTTTAACAGTTCAAATTATGGTTCGAAAAGTAAAAATTATGATTAGAACAGTAAAAATTTCTATACGGGAAAGTAAAATTTATGAACCGATCCTTTGGAGGTTTGCTAGTCCAGCATGGTAATTTTTTTCCTTTTCTCTGCCAGCTTGCATTCGCTTTGCTGTGTGGAATGGTAATTTTTTCTGGAATTTCTTTATAATTTTTATCCTTTTTTTCTCTCAGTGTAGTATTCCCATTAGTTAAAGCAGTGTTACATAAATTAGACGAGTATTCCAAGAATTAAAGTAGTTTTGATGAATCTAAAATATTTATGTAAACGTATGGGTAATTAACAGGTATTATGTATGTGTTTAAAATGTGTTAATGAGGTTTTTTTGTATGAGGAAAATTACAATAAAGTTGTATACTATGTATTTGTTGTTAATTTCTTACCTTTCACTGGTACAGGCTTGTGGACATCGTAGGGGACTGTACAAAAACATGTGAGGTAAAAAAATGCTAAAACTACGACTGTCACATACAGAGTCTTCATCAGATATTATGACAAAAAATTTTCCATTTTTTAGCTAATATGTCGCGATTTTCATACATTTTTCAAGTGTGCGCGATCAGGTATGTAACATATAGTGGACATTACTGTTATAAAAAGATAAAATCGCATAGAAGACCCTTTCGAGATTCAGGACTGTACGTGAGAATTCATCGGAACAAAGGGGCTGATAATTATTTTCAGCTATTAAATTTATATGGTGAAATCGCGAGTAAATAACAATTTGATTATCCAATAATTTATCTCAAATTGATTTTAATTGTTCTACAACTACACGAGAGTTTAAATTATTTTAGAAGACACTGCATGCGAAAGTATTTTTGCTATAGTTGTACTCTCCACAGCAAAAACAATTTAAATTTACTGAAAATTGTAACGTAAAAATACCTTTCTTTTCAATATGCACGGGATAAGGCCGATCAACTTCGACAGTTTTGTATTCAGGTACCTCCTTAAAAAAAAGCAAATAAAATAAAATTAAAAAA